AGGTTACGTAACCTATAACTTATTCGAGTGAATAGATTTTTTCGCACCTTTTTGGCACCAACGAAACGCGATCACGCAGATTCTTTAGCCTTTATTCTCACAGTGGTGTAATAAATTAATTAACGAAAATGTTCGTGCCGGTAACGCGCGATGTTTTCTGACGCGAGCTGATGTTTGCTAACACGTATTTCGTCTTTGAAACGCGCTGCAGCGCGCGCGTTACGAGGCAGCGGACATTTCGAGCGCTTTCTTTAACGTACGTTAAAATCTATCGTGAATAAACGGTGCGCTTGCGTGCGTCGTGTGAGATATGCTTATAATATAGAGGTAGCGTTTGGTTTTATGGATTTGAGACAAGTTCATTCGGGCATTAAACACCTACGTCGATCGCTCCCTGTTTTTAATGTTCGCGACTCAGCTAAATTGATTTCTCGTCGGCCAGCTGCTCCTAATTCTCAACTTGTTACGCATACGTTTTGCGTAGATTAATTACTAGTCATTGTAAATGTTAAAATATTGCGAATAAGAGGATGCGTGTCCGCGCATTTTAACATCATGCATAAAACTCGCAAATTAATGTTAGACCGATGTTCGATAATTAAAAATCTTATATAATCCACACGCGCGTATCGATCGCGCTCTCTTTTCATCTTTAAGATTCATATCGAATTCCCCCCACCCCCATCCCCCGTTCAAATATAATCTCTCCCTTCAACCTTTTCGTGCGCGCCCGCTCGCTCTATTTCTGGCCCGCTCCGCGTCGGGACGCGTAAAGCGCGTACGGGGGTAAATCGCGCCCGGACGCAGAATGCAGAACATCCCGCGGCGCGAATCAAAACTGCATTTGTTTTAACGGCCGTTCCATTGAATCCGTCACGGTGAGTTATGTCGAGCGCGCGGCAAAGCGGTGTAAGCAAAGCAAGTAATTTGCGTGTAAACAGATGCAGAACGTTCCCCCGCCGGCCGAAGCGCCGCCGCGCGGCGGCCGAAATGCCGGTGCGCCGGTCACCTGCGTCACCGGAAGCCCGAAACAACCGCATCATTCGCACGCGCGTGCATTCTCCGCGATGAATGTGCAGAATGAAAAGAGAATTAATCGCCGAGGGATCGTGGCCGAACAATGTAAACAAATTAACACTTCGCCGAGGGCGAATGACTTAAGGCGCGTCCGTAAGCTTTTTTCGAAAAACTCGTAGCGAGTTTTACGCGCGTTTCGCGAGATTTAACTTCTTCGTACCTACGTCCCGACAAGTGCGCTGTACGTGGGACATTCGAAGGGTCCCCGGAATGAATCACAGACCCGGGAAAAATGTGGAAAATATCTCATTTTATTTCAATCGTGTAATATCTAATAATTGTATCTCACGAGATCCAATTCTAAAAATCATCGGATCCTCAGAGATTTGATACCTTCCTTCGATGCTCGATATTAACTCTACTAACTAGATCTATAATAATTAAATATCCTAATTAGATCTAGGATGTTCAATAAAAGTGTCGGATCTCTGAAGATCTGATGATTTTATAATTGGATGTAATTAGATGTTACATGATCGAGACATAATGAGATTTTTCCCTATTTTTTCCCCGGGGATGGAAAGTTCCAGCTTCTCTACGAACACGTACATGAAGTTCCGATTCGTCCCATCAAATTCACCTTTTACAGATCTTTGAACGACCATATCCGCATGGGTTTTGAAATGAAAAATGAATAACTCAAAGTGTCGGACTTGCACCTACTCCCGCGACCGAAGAGAATTCCTCGCCGAGCAATAGATGTTCATCGGATGAAAAAGTGAAAGAATCGACGGACATTCTGCATCACTTGACAAGTTTCGCAATGGGATAGTGACGCACGAGTGGCTCAAGTGGGTCGATACAAGGGTAGATTATGCTGGGAAATAAAAATAATTACAAAAAGACACACGAGCTGTTTTTCCATTTCATTCCGAGGACTTTTCAAACGACCCACTTACGAAGGGGGAACTCGTCGGAGTCGAGCAACAAGATGATGCTTTTCATAGCCTGACGATATTGAGAACAGCCGTCCGGTCCTTCCGCGAAAAACCATCGTATATTCCCGCCATATGTAAAATGCGCAATAAATTCCGTCTAAAGAACGAACCCAAAGCCTCGTATTATCTTCCCTCCGTTTTCCTCGGCGGAATAAGCTCGACGCCCACGTTATCGTTACACGCTACCGCGCGAAAATCAAACCGTATGGTGCGAACCGCTGCTTCCGATAGAACGTTCTGACGTACACGATGCGTCGTGTCGGACGCGACGGAACGCGCGCTAACAATAAGTATAAAAAAAAAGGTGTGAGCAAACGCGCGTGCGATGGAACGATGTCCCGCGTTTTGTCGCGCGCGTTCGTTCGCCCGCGCGGTGAGTAAGCGCGTAAAGTGCGCCGCGTATTTCCTCGGAGAGGCGCAGCCGACCGCGCGTTGCGTCGCCCGTGACGCATCGCCGTGGCCGTTCGCGCGTGACTCGACCACGCACGCACGTACGCGCGCGTGTACGCAATTGTACCTGCGTACGGACGTGTGGGCGAAGAACCTCTCGTGCGCGTAAAAAGCGTCGCCGATCGAAGCCCGCGACGCTCATCGTCTCTCGCTTCATGGGAACCAGACAAGGCGAGATAAGATCGATCGCTTTGTGCGTCGCGCGACTAATTGCGCCGCCCGGCGATGTTTGAGACCGAGGGCCTTGGTAGAATGTCTTGTGAGACGCTCCAAGACCCAGTTTCGCCAACGTCCCTTAACTTCAACCTTAGCTTATAATTTGTCTCTTTTTAACTGCCTTTGTTAGGCCCGGACTCAGTGTCACTTGACTTAAATCTTAACTTGACTGATTCTCGATCTCTTCTCAAGGGGACAGTAAAAAAAAAGATTAAAGTTATACGACAATGGAGAGACCGGGCCAGGTATTTGTCTCAAGTAACGAACAACCGTCTCAAATATGTATACGAAGAGAACATTTGCAGAGAATGAACTTATATAAATACGTAAATATGTAAACATACGAAAGTAACAATTTTACTGTAAGCCTGTTAACAATAGATGAATATTTTATAAACATCAGGTCTGTATTGCTCTTGCACTTGTTGCACTTAGAACCCTTGTTTTCTCTCTCCGACGCCCAATGTATATTTACCTCGTTTTAAAGCGCGGGAATTTTGGGGGATTTCAAGCGACGCGACCAAGCCTCAAGCCTTAGGCCCGGTCCACAACGAGTTGTTGTCAGTCAGAAGATAGAAACTGTATGTCAATCCTTTTTCTTCCACCCAGCAAGAAAAGGTTCAACACATTGCGACTTCTGACTAACGACTCATTGTAGACCGGGGCCTTATTCTGGCCGAGGCACGAAACCTCACGCGACCGCATACGCACTCGCGTGCACGCGCGAGCATTGTTTCGTTGAGGCGCGTCGCTGCGATAATCGCGGGGGGCGATCGCACGCGAGTGGGACGTTCCCTCGGTGGCGAACCGCGGATTTCGCGCGCGTCCCCGTAATTACACGAGACGGGGTAGCGCCGCGTTTCTATTATTACTCGCGTCCCGCCGCGAGTCGTGCTGCACAAAAAGTACCGATCCCCGAGGCATTTCGTAAAATAAACGTTGGCAGAGGACTGTCCTTCTGCCACGTGCTTTTGTTACGCAGGAATCTCGCGGTTCACTGACCTCTCTCTCTCTTTTTCTCTCGTTACGACTATTTAATCTGAGTTCCATTATATTTACTAGGTTTGGCTTCCGAGTTAAAACCGCGCAAGTTTTCTACTCCTTTGTTTTTTTCCATTGTACGTCTTCAACAATTTCATTTTGAATGTTAAGAGCTCCAGTGCGAGAAACAAATTTATGCGAAATTATTTCAAAAATATTCAAGTGCTCCGAGGTCTATTAAAGGACACACACACGCGCGCGCGCAGCGAAAAAGCTCGTTGCTACAACGCGAGTCCCGAGAAGCCTCGACGCGATAAATTAAGAACCAAGTGATTCCACGTTTTTCCTCGATTTGCGTTGAATCCCGCGAACCGAATTAAGACCTGCATTAAAAGGGAAATGACATTTCGCACGGTGCGGGTTCCGATGCGATTTTAATTTATGCGAACCCGGTGGTTGAGAACGATATCGAAGGCACCGGTCTGTAACGACGATGCCCGTTTGCCACCGACACTAGCGCGCGCACACACCCACACACACACATACAGATTAGTCTCGTGCAAATAAAGAGAGGAATACATCGTTCATAGCAAGATGTACAGTACAACACGCACATGTTTCTCTCATTTCTTGTGTTTTTATTTTGTTAATTTTCTCGTATAATATATACTAACAAAACATTTAATTACAAAACATGGGCAATATCTGTTTCTCGTGTACGTGTGTGTATGCATGTATGTATGTATGTGTGTACGTGTCCTGTGATGAAAGCGGCTATGTGTTCCTTTTCTATGCGGTACGCGTACCTTTTCTGGTTAATGTAGATATTACGATTAAACTTCATAAGTTCTCTACGATAAGTAGATGGATTGATAACGACAATTTACACGCAAAAAACGTGTGGCAAATGCCCCCTGTCCCTCCCGTCGTCGTCGTCGTACCCCCCGTTCCGCCCCTCTCCCCTCCAGATTCGTTTCCGGAACTTCGTTCCTTCGTTTCAATTAATCGCATTCATTTAATCGCGAGAGTGAGTTTCGCTCGGTCGGGCCTCCGTTCACCGAAATACTCTTTATTTTCCTCTCTTTCTCTCTCTCTCTCTCCCCCTACAACCTATGTCCGTCATAAATATGCAAACGCAAGAAGGGATAAAAACGCTACTGTAATATGCGATATAATAATATTACCGTACTTCGATATTAGTTATAAATAGTTTTTTTTAATAATTATTTGTCCAAACACTGAATATTTTACAACAGCCATCGAATCTCAACTATTTTGTAACTCTATTTAAACAGTTTGCAACTTTTACAATTCATCTTTTCATTCTTCAGTTCATTCTTTTTGTTTCCTCAATTTCACTTTTAATATTATTATGCGTATAGCGCGTGTCTGATCCAATATCATATCAATAATAGGGATATATCATAAATTTTGTAATTTCCTAAAAAATATTCTCTAAAAAATATGTCGACCTAAAGATTATTAATTATGACTGATAATCACAGACAATTTTTTCAATTTTTCTTTTTCCCTTTCGCACCGTCGTACCGAGTTTATCGATTGTTGTTCATCCTTCCCTCTTACTTTTCTTTTTAAACAAGTACAATATTTCAAAATTCTACACTCTGTTTAAACGTTAGAATAGTAGTTTTTATACACGTCCTTAAGAAGCGTTTTACATTTTATCGATTTTGTTTCATCCTCCTTCTCCTCTAATCCCTTAGAATCGTGAGAATAATATTTTCATCCTCTCAGCTTATCCTTCTCTCGAGAAAAAAAGAAGTAGATCTAAAGTGCGCGATGAGACGAAATTCCTGGTTGTGAAGAGATCGCAATTAGCGTGACGATGCGCCGAAACCGCGTCGCGTCCCGAGAACGCGGTAATACCGCGAGCTCGTCGTTTCCGCGAAATAACTTAATCACTCGCAATTTCAAACGCAACGCTGAGACAGCGCGATCATCCGTACGAATCGCCGTTCGGAGCGAGTCCGTTTGTCGAGAGGTAAAACATGCGTAAAAGTTGGAGAGAAACGATCTACCTATTACATCTATACATTATAGTATGATTTTTTTGCTTTAATTATTGTTAGACTACACGTTTATTCGTCGTACCGTTCTTCGGATGTTTGTTCGTCGCCTTTTTTTTCTTTTTTTTACACGCAGCGTTATTTTTGAAAGGTGCTGATGGGTGTAGTAAACAAACTGTGCTTAAGTGTGCCCAAATATACGAGTGACTTGAGTAGTGATGTATGCTTTCTCTTTCTTTCCCCTTCTTTTTTTTATATGTGTGTATAGATTATAATTAATAGCGATAATAATAATAATGAAGGCTGTATGCGTAATACTAAGGTGGGTCGTACGCCCTTTCCACGCAGTTTAAAGAGTAGTTCAAAAAGACACAGAGTATGTTCCAGAAAGCACCCGATAGATATTCGTCCGTATTCAACAGGCAAGGATTATCGGGAGACAAGTAAAAATCTCTCTCTCTCTCTCTCTCTCTCTCTCTCTCTCTCTCTCTCTCTCTCTCTCTCTCTCTCTCCCCCTCTCTCTCTCTCTCGCTTTTTGTGTCCAGCTACAAGCGCACGCTCAAACTGTTACCTTTTTACCGAAGTACTCGCGTGGGTACTTTACAAAAGTCGTCAGTGATAACGAATAATGAGAAGAGAACGATGTACCGAGAATTGAAGCCTATTCGCGAGTGTAAAAATGAAATCGGACGATAATGGATAGCTTACAGCTTACAATCATAATACATAGCGATGTAAAAATCGGATTACATGGTATGCAATGCCTACGGAGTATACACTTTGTAAAGCCCAAATTAATTCTGACGTTCGTAGCGTAACGATCCAGGAGGCTCTGTAATCGAATCGAAGATACACGCTTGCTTGCTTGCTAGAAAGAAAAGAAAGGATTTGATCCTTGTATATATCCGCGTCAATCAATGTGACTACCATATATGTGCACCGATTCTAAATCGTTCCTTTTTTTTTTACGTTAGTACTTTTTCGTCAACCCTAATACCGTCTCGTTCATAATCAATAAATATCAATAAAATATCTAACATTGTTATATTTTCAAGTAAGTTACCATCCTTACTAGTCGTATTACTTTTCATGTACAGATTAAAATTAATTATCATTATATTAACAATATTCATCCTCGAATATAATTATAGTTATTAATTATATCGGTAATTATATTAAAAAAAAGATTCACAAAATATCTAAAAAATGGCAATTTCACGTGACCAGAACAGGTTTCCGTTTTCCCTCGTTTTTCATAACTTTTTACAACTCAGCGTACGCGCTTTGTACCAAACCAGGCCGATTAAAATCGCAGCACGTCTGACATTATTCGCGTGCTCAAATAATGCGCTCCTGCCACCATTTCACCCCATTATATTACCTCTTTAAATAATTCACGATCAATATTCTTCGTATAACGCATTTCTTATTATTATCAAACACTTCCGCACAGCAATCTTACTATCTCTTACTCTAGGCCATTTTTTCATGAAAAGTGCACTTAACGGTGTCCATGGAGCACCAAAAATTTAAGGGACTACCACCTCGGCAGAAATTGATTAATCGCGCTAAAATACGTTGTCGTAGTCGTATCAGAGGGCGCCGTGCCACGCCGTTGCGGTTGTGTTAGTTTCGAATATAAAATATCATTTGCGTAAATATATATCTAAATCTATCACCGGGTGAAAGCGTAGGTACATGTAAAAGTAAGGCAAAACTGGACTTCACAGAAGGATATTGGTACGGAATACATGGTATATATATATGTATACATGTATATATATCCGTAAAAATGTAAAATATATATTCCTATAAAAGCATCTCTAATATATTTCCCATTATGGGAAAATATCACAAACGTTCCCCGAAAACGTACCCGGAGACGTTTATCTCAAACAATGCATAAATCCTCATCGGTCTGAACGAATAAAGTCATTGTTTTCAAATAGAAACTCTTTTAAAAATGATCATTGAAACCGTTAGCGATTCTATTAAGTGGTCGTCGAATAAAATGTCGTATCATTCAGATAAAATAGATTTCGGATAATAAATTCGATGATGTTGGCAAGGTGGAAGCACAAATACAGATGCGACGTCTATAAAATACACAAAAAAAAATAAAAAGGCAAATAAATCGAACTCGCTTAATTTTTACATACGAATAAATAGCTTGATCTGAGAAAGACAAATCCTCTCGACAATGATGCCACGTAAATAATCAAACACAAAGTCGTATCAATGTCTGCCAAAGTAGGTACACCTTCGAACAATATCCCGCTACAGGAGACTGTTCTCGCTTGCCATTCTCTATCTCTCTCCTTAATGCCTACATTCCTAACTTAAGTTAAAACTGTTGCTGTTTACTTACATCAAAGACGATATATCTAGTCTAACAATTACATATTTTACAAAAACATTTGAAATCTGGCCCTACAGCAGACATGAAATGTCACGAAGTTAGTCATACACTGTACACTAAATTTAAAATTTACACAAATCATTTAAATATATAATTATCGCGTTTTTTACGTTCACGCGTTTCGTAGCCATTTGTACACAATTATTGTTTGTCATTTTTATTTTACAAAACTTTAAAGAGACATAAATAGCTTTCTGAAAGTCGCGATCATCGTCAAAAACCCGCTGCTCTTTCATCATCCAGCGGAACCATTTACCATTTTCACCGATACGTCCATTTAAAAAGAAGAAGTTGGTTTTCTGGTTTTCAAACGATTAAAGCATCGAGAGGTCCATATCGTGAAGGATGCACGGGAATTATGCGAACTAAAGAGCACTCGCATTTAGTGTAAAGTGTAAGATAACTTGTACACTTAAGCCTCAATAGTAGATAATAGGTAGAGTCTAAAAGTCGTGCGAGAAAGCACAGGCGTGAATAAAGTAACACTTTCAAAAGTCTGAAGCGCGTTAGTAAAGCGCACGACTTTGTCGGATACGAAAGCGGGACATACTCGAATGATTTTATTGCTATAGGTATACGTGTATATATACCCCCCCGTTAAATCAACTACAGGAACGTAGCTGTCTAAAGTAACATCGTCGTAATCGCCGTGCTTCGCGAATTACGTCTGGCCTTCTAATATTTAAAATGTATAATCTATGTTCTTTTATAGTAATAAAAAGCTGCAATCTCTGAAAATAGTTTGATGATGAGTAAAATGAATAACATTCAATAAAACGAATCCTATTCGAAAGCGCGCGCGCAATTATAGCACATATCTTATTTCTTTGTCATCGGTCGGCTGCTTAGGATAAGCTGTATATACGCAGTCTCAGTTGAGGTATTTACGACATTTGCGGGAACCGCAAGTACACGGGATCTTGATATCCTCGAATGGGAATTTGTAGTCGTACGTCAACTCCTCCCCTTGAATGATGCGACGAAGAGCAAAAATCAGTATGTGTTTCTTACCTAGAATGTCTACCACTCGCGAGTAGCAGTTTGGCTGTAACATATGTATTTTCATATAATATGCATATTTATCACAGATATTCAAATGCATCGCATGTAATTGTGCATTAATATATGTGATATTAATATTAACGTAACGCTTGATTACACATATATTATGGGATCAAAATTATACATAATGCAAGTTAAGATATTTTTTAATATATTTAAAAACAATAGAAATAATGTTATTAAATAATAAAAGCTTTTCTTTCAATTTCAATTATTAGATGAATTCTTGGTAAAAGTAAAAAGAAAGGAATCTCTCGTACCTCGCACGAATGATTGATAAATCTAGCTGCATTCCCTTTCATAGTAGCGTCAACAACTAGATGATCGTCGATTTTAAACATGTAGCAGCCTATGTTCTTGCTGTCGTAGTACTTTTCTCTCTTGTCGGTCAAGGAAGATCGAATAACCTAATGATAATCAATAATTTTAATAATAATGACAATAACAGCGATATCAATTATAAATATCGCGACATTCACTTCTAATATCTATGAATAGTTGCCTGCTACTTACTTCACCGGCGTATTCAATGACCATCTCACCAGGCTCGATGTCTCTCAAACAAAACAGTCCTCTACCATGTATGTGGGAATAATACACACCGACAGATGTTTTTGATGTTTCCTTAAGTATTCTAAAGCGCATTGCCATGGGTAAATTGGTACTCGCGACTCGCCTGAAACATTCATCACAGTGGACTATTGAATGCATTATTAACAACGGCGTTTGCTTAGTTTTAATCTGAAATATTGCTGATTCTATTTATATAACCCAGAGAAACATTATACATCTTACATTCAATGTATATATAAAAAACATTATTAGTATTTAAAAAAATGCAAATTTATCAAACCGATAGTGCACGATATCGCGCAAAAACGTCATTATATAACACTTGTATTAATAATGTGTCAAATATCAGAAATTATGTGTTACTTTACAAGAGACAATTAAATTGGTTAGAACAGAATACATTTGAATTAAATTATATATTTGAAATACAAAACAAAAAAACCCGTTTTATAAGCAAAGTGAATTTCTCAATAGATTTTATGCTGTTTTGTCTTGAGGCGGCAAAGTAAAAAAAAATTATGCTTATCACAAAAATATTAAACTAGACCACTGCCTTTGTAATAACACAAAAGAATACTTGTAATTACTACTGTGAATGTAAATGCAGTACTAATATGTACTTTGTGAAAACATAGCCTACTTACTTTTAAACAAAACCATAGGAGAAGAAATTAAAAGTTTCTTTCTGTAACTTCAATGGAAGAAAAGTAAGTACCTAGGTTGAATCTTCATCACTTTCGTCATCACTATTCTCGTTTCAAGTTCTTTTTACGCGTGGCCAGTACAACACGGAAATTAATCGCAGCTTCATTCAGAAAGGGGCCATGTGCTACACGCGTATCTTTCTGTACTAAACCTAAACTTCCATAATGAAGATCGTCCTCTTTACTAGTGTCATACATATCGCGTACAGAAAGACGTGCCTATCCGTGTATAGCGAGGATTGAAATTGTCAACTTAATTTGGATCAAAATATTACATGTACCCTTTCTCTGTTCTAACCGATTCAATTGCAAAATAACGTGGCACTTTGTCTTTACGCCGTCTGCGTGTACGCAACGAGTCTTTACCTAGATTCCGTTTCCGATATTGTAATTATGTTAGGATGCGGCCTGTGCTGCGACGCCAACCAGCTAAACATGTCGTGCACTTTCCTGCCCTTGAAGGGCTCGGCCCGTGCGGCCCCGTTGGCGCACGCCGCCGGTAACTCGTTCTCCAGCTCGTCGGGTTTCGGCGGCGCCAGATTGTGAAATTTCGGCTTGTACTTGCTGCACCTGTTGACGCCCGGCAGTTGCTCGATCAGGTAAATCGCCGCGTTGTTCTCCAAGCCAAGACCCTCGGACAGGGGGTTGTGAGGCAGAGGGGGCAGGTTGTGAGCCTTGCGTGCATTCTGCACCGCCTCGTACACCGTTGCCCAGACTTCAGTCATGGACGAAGCGGTATGGGTGAAACCGTCCTGCGACTTGATCTCGTACATCAGGATCGGTCCCTTCGAGCAGTTCTTCTGCACTTGCGGCGGAATCTGCGGCGGACTGTTTCGCAGCGGTCTGATCGACTTGGTCACTATTCTGGGTTTCTTGACAGCTACGGGCGGCGCCTTCGCCTTGAGTATGTTCACCTTCGCGTTCTCCACAGGCTGCACCTTGTCCTCGAGCTTGTTCGCCTTGAGCGTGAACGTTTTGATCGGCAGCAGTTGCAGCGACGCGATCTGAGGCACCTGATTCGACGGCAATATCTCCACGGACGTCACCTGCGGTGCCTTTTTACTTTGGGTGACCGCCTTCATGTTGCGCGTGATTTTGTAAGAGCCGTCCTGCAATTGTTTCTGCAGCACTATCTTCAACGACGTGTTTTGCAGCTTCTCCTTGTCGAGCTCCAGTTTGAGATTCTCCTTCACCTTCTCTATAGTCTCCGTATTCAGCTTGATACTGTCGCTGATGTTGTCGAGCGCGGTCTCTGGTTTTAACTGCATGATCTGCTCGGCGATTTCCTTCTTCGGTTCCACAATTTCCGGCTCGGCTGGTTTGATCACCGGCTTCGTCGGTTCCTCGATCGCCAGGTCATCTTTCTTCGCCGGATCCTGCTTCAGTGTCACTGCTTGCATCGGTAGTACCCTGTTCATTGGTCTACTAGGCGGCATGTTGCTCATCGGCATTGTAATTTTATTTTGCACAGGATTAGAATTGGAGACAACCGGGCTGTTGCTATTGACGTTTGCGCTCGCAGAGTTCGGACTCAACGCGACACCGCTGCTGTAGCTCTTGAGCATGCTATTTACATCGTGATTCGACTTATTTACAATTAGATTCCTCTGCGTGACATAATGATTCGATAGAGGCGGTATCTTGGACGATGATATGCTGGAGTTGATCATGCTGGTGTTCTCCGACACGTGTTTCGAGTCAAAGTACGGCCGCACGCTGTTGCTCATCGGTTGCTCCGCACCGAACAACGGCTCGGTGATCTTCCAGGCGGCTCCGTGATTCGCCTGTACTGAGTGCATGACCGGACTAGGTCTCACAGCGACACGGGGAATCATCGGCATCGCGTGCGGTGGCGGCGGCGGCGGCGCTGGTGGTGCTGACGGTGGCGGTGGTACCGGCGGTGATAGCCTCGGCGTCGCGTTTGACGAGCATACATCCGCCACCTGAATCGACGCCATTGGATGCTCGATGCTCGTATTTTGACACGGTATCGGTGACACGGCGCTGCACGCGACGCCACCGTAAATTCGCTCGTGGGACGTGGCGGAAATGTTGATCTGCGACGGCGTCGTGATTGGTTCCACTGATAGCGTTGGCGGCGACATTGATACTGGTGCTGGTACCGATGCCGATAACAACGCTGGTGCTGGTACTGGTACTGGTGCTGGTGTTGGCACTGGTGCCGGAGCTGCCGTTGGCACCGGTGGCAGCGGCGGCGCCGACTGGTTCACCACCACGTAAGGCACTCCGGACACGTTGGGCATACCACTCACGCCTTGCACGCTCGCTATGTTGGGCACGCCAGCTATGTTGGGTACACCAGACATGCTCGGCATGCTCGATACATTCTGCATCGTCGTCACGGTGGGTACGCCCGGCACAGCCTGTACATCCACGATGGGCTCCATCAGTTTGGACGCCTGAAACACCTGGGTTGTCGTCTGGTAGCTGCTGGCCAACACCTGTGGTACGGTGCCCGCCATGAACTGACTGGACGACATGACGGTGTTGCTGACAATTGTCTCCAACCCGTAGTACATCGGTTGATTCGACACGAACATACCACCAGTTGGATCAGTGAACATCTCCAAGGTAGGAGTGGAGCTCAGCAGAAGTTGCTCCGACGATATAACGCCACATTGGATCGCACTGGGTTGCTGTTGTATGATAGTGCCCAATACTGTAGGCTGCGTTTGCGCGATTTGCACGCTCGGCAATATCGATATACCACCGTTCTGCAGCGCTAGTAGATTGTCGGTGGACGGTGCTTGTATATAAGTGCCCGGTACCAAGGGATTCGCGGCGATCAGCTGCGGCTTGAAGCCTGTCTCGTGTTGTCCACCGCCTATCGTCGTGATATACTGTAAGTTTTGGCCGGATTGCTGCTGCAGCGCCTCCACGTAAGCGGACATGATGCCTGGCGGTGCCACTTGCTGAAGGATCACCGTGGGCGGTCTCTGGGCGGCCTGATGCAGAATCACCGGCGGGCTGTTCGTCATCGCCGCCGGTTGGAATCTGGCATTGTGCGCGACGTTGTGCGGCGCGTGCATCATGTTCTTTAGAAGATGCTGCTGCTGCTGCTGCTGCTGCTGCTGCTGCTGTTGCTGCAATTTGACGCTCTTGGTCTTAGGTTTGGCCACCCGTGAATTCTTCGACTTGGAAGAGACTCGGGCGACCTGTGCGTTCATCTGCGCGGATTCGTGCGCGGTCTGCATGCCCGTGGACGAGAAATTGGGCGACATCTCCGGGCTTGGGACGGTCTGCGAGCTCGTGCTGTCCGGTGAGTTCATGGGCGTGTTCACCATGCCCTGCGCCGTAACGTTGGAATCGTTGGAGACGGACGGCGGGTCTGTGATCTCCGTTATCTGCACCGTGCTTTCCTGAGGAGGTAATACTGCTGGGTTCGGCAGGGTGGTGGTCCTGCGAGTGTACTGAGTCTGTACGATCACATCGTTGGACGTTAATACTGTCTGGTGCACGGTCTCGACGGTGGCGTGCGTCGCATGGATCTGCGGTGTGATGATCGCCTGGGCGATAGGTTCGATCTGGATACTCGGATGGGGTGACGCCACGGACGCCTCGATGGGCGATGTCGCCTGGATATCCGTGTAATCGGTCGTCAGGGTGTGGCCTTCGGACGGCGAGAGCGTGATGAACTGCGGAGAGCCCATATTCGCCGAAAATCCCGACTCTGGCGACGCCAGCTTGTTATCCATGGTCTCCGAGTCGCTATCGCTGGTAATCATAGCGTCGCAATTGTCCAGGTGACGATTGTAACTTTCCTCGTTACGGTACGTGCGACCGCACCTCTTGCAGGTAACGTCGATGTGCTCGAACGGTGACGACTCGTACGACGTGTGAGTCAGCCTCTCATGCGCCATTATGTGTTGCGACGAGACGCACTCGTCGTCGCTCGAGATATCGCCTGCGCCGTCCACTTGTGGGATCTGCAGATTCACCTTGAGATTCTTCTCCTTGAACAAAATTTCCGCCTTGTGCAAGGTACACCTGGCGGTTGGTACGGTTATAAAATTGCCTCCTCTACTCTTCGTCTTTTGCGACTTGTCACACGCGCCGCTTGATACGTGCGACCTAATAAAGATACGTTTCGAATGCAAAAGATTTGAAGATCGCGCGTACAAGCTAAGCTCCTTCTCCGTGTTCGGCTCGCCCGCGTCAGACGAGTGCTCGTCGTTAATACCATCCAATTGCGGGATCGATAACGATTCGGACGTTTGCTGGTTCGCGTTTTTCTCCTCCGTGTTGTACTCCGGTGAACTGCACTCGCTGGCGCTATTAGCGTCAGCCGACCCGTCGACCTGCACTATTCGCGGCTGCTGCTGTCTCGGATGCCAGAACAGCCTCTTGTGTTCTTTCGCGTCATCCCTGGCTGGCAACACACGACGATTCAGTCCAGCGGAATCCTCGATGCAGTACTTCAACTCGCGCACCGAGTCGGATAGTATATTAGGCGTGTTCCCTCTTCCGACGGTAACCATGATACTCTCCGGGATTCTCAATTCGTGGAACATAGACGTGCGTTCATTTTGCGCATCGAGAGAGACGATGAGACCAGTCTCGTTAGACTTGGTGCTGGATGGATTTCGAGGCAATTTTCGTCTCTTTATGTTAGAACCATAGGTGTTGTCTAGCTTGCAGCTCCAGGTGAGGCTGCAAGAGCGCTGATGATGCCTCTGACCGCCGACGATCAGCGGATTGTTCGACATCACCTCGGATTTGGAGCGTTTCAACTCTCTACCAGCGCGTTTCTGGCTTTTCGAGTTAAACAGATCGTCCATGAGGTCCTGCATCGCGGTCTTCGCCTCCAATCGCACCCAGAGATCGTTGTGCGTTCCCAGTTCCAGTAAAGACGAATCCATTTTCGAAATTTTGCTCTCCGACGGCTTTATCGTCTCTTCGACTTCCGACGACAGCATGTCATCCTTAAACAAATCTGTACTGAAAGAACTGTCGTTCTTCAGATCCATGGCTAAAAAATCTTCGTACGACATCTTCGGAAAAATGTCCTGCATGGAGATTCCATCTAACAGATCGTGCGGCAAATCCTCAAATATCGCCTCCTTCAGTTCCGGCGGTAAAAGATCCGTGTTGTTTTGCTCCGCTAAATTCTCATCGACCTCTTTATTGCACACGATATCAATGAGCGTATCTAGGGTCTGTTTAACAGCAAAATAATCGACTCTCTGCGCGTCTATCGACACTTCTTCCTTCTCCTGCTCTTTACTGTGATCGATGGTGATATTATTCTCCATGTCGGACGAGACGTCCGGCATATGCACTTGCACGTAAGTCCTAATGTAATATCTAACTATCTTGTAAGGGTTCACTGTGGACCAGTAAAGTCTAGAGCATTTGTAATCGCATGGTATTATCTTTTCAGCTGTGTCAGAAAATTCTGGAATGATGGTACCCAGACAGTCAACCATCAAAGAACCTATCATCAGCTTGACCTTGTTGGGTTCGGCGAACTTCTTTTTCTTACGATCCAACTCCACGTACACCGGCCGCTTCAAACTGAACTCGTTCTCGTTCTGCAGGGATTTGTAAGTCTGAGTGTTCGAATGTAAGACGCAAAATACCGTCTTATCGTCATTGAAGGCGAGCCCGACGTTCCTCGCGCACGGAAAATGAAAGGTGTTGCTGCAGTTCTTTGCGCAGCATCCAATACTCGCGCCCTTCTTACCGCACTCGGAGCAGCGGATCAAACGACCCCTCGAAATGGCACTATGGACATTCTGCAGTGAGCCGTCGATCTCCTCGAACACCTCATTTGACCATAGCGCGCAATTTGCGTGCACCCATTCGTTCTGCCCGCAATACAGCAGCCTGCCCTCCTTTGTCTCGTGTCCGTCGCCCAAGCCTTTGCACAAACAACACGACCTGCTGTCCTCGACGTGGATATTGTAGAGATTCGCCGTTTTCGCTGCGATCGCCTTCGGCGCTTTCATCACCTCCTCTTTCCACGCCTCCAAGATAGGATCGTCAAACTTTGTCGTTAGAACGGTGTCTTTGCCAATGTCTTTAGTAGGTGTTAATGTATCGTCGTTTTCGTCGCTGCTCTTAAAATTCTTCGGAGTAAACCACGGAAAGACCTCTTGCAAAATATCGTGATACGTTTCTAACAGATCTTTCAAACCGACCCGGTTGATTACATGCTCCATATCACAATAAAATTGCGACAGTGATTTATACTCGTTACCATTCACCTTACGTTTCACAGACATTAAAGTGGGGGAGGGCCTCGCGATGATTTGTTGCTCCGAGCAATGACATTCCGTGACGTCGTTCGAAGAAACTAACGAATCCTGATTCGCCCAGTCTTTTCTCTCGCTGTCTGGAGAGTCCTTCGGAATACAGTTCTTCACCCTAACCGAGCATTCTCTTAGATGGAATTTCTGTCGTAGCCGTCGCAGACCTTTTCTACCAGGACCGTCCGTCGAATGTTCCTCCGAATCGGGCTTGTTTATACCGTCTCTGTAATTGGCGCCCGAACTCGAGTCGGTATCCGCGGACTTGTCACCATTGCACTCTTCCAATTCCTCGTTTTCCTTCGCACAGCTCGTCTCGCTCTTGTCCTCGGGAAACTCGAGTCTCCTCACGCTTGAAAGTGGTCTGCAGAGGCATTCCTTTCTGGGACTCCACTTGAGAGCCGTGCAAACCTTGCGGTTTTTACTCAGAGATTTTATCACGCCGATGAAACCCGCCTTCAGCTCCGCCTCTATGGCATTCCTCCAGATGGAGGAATTCGAGTTGGAAGAGCATTGGCTGCATGTGAATTCGATCGAATCGGGCAGGTAACTAAGTATCTGGTAACGCTCATCGGAAAGGCCTTCGCAACGGGCATGTACCCAGCAGGAACACTCGCTACACTCCATCATCTAAAAGAACATACGTACGGTCGTGATACGTAAGTAGCAGGCACAAGATAAATTTTGTGTCCGTGAATTTATTCTACATCGAAATTGCCGCGTAGATACTCACCTTTGTGTCGAAATCGTTTTCGTTGTAACATCTCTGACACAATGGACAATAGTTTCCTTGCTGCCTTAACTTAAAGCACATAGAGCAAAGAGGTAAATTACCAACGTGAACGTTGACACCCTCGCTACCGCAGCTTTTACACTTAATACAACTCTGGCAAACGTAAGGTCGATCGGGACTGTACAATCTAGAGCTAACACCGGACTTTGACAGACATGAATGGTGAAACGATTGACGACAACGAATGCAGGATAATTTCGGGCCGGATCTGAGATGGCAGGATTGACATATCGTACACCGGGGACAACACCAGTTTGGCTGTGCACAAGCGTTCCATTCACTGGGTTCCAAACAGAAGGCATGGTATGGCTCGCAACAGCATTGACAGTGGATCAGCTGTAAAGAATGATCGTTATGTTGATAGTTCTCGAAGAGACATGACGCGTTACTAGTATATGTACATTTGTCATCCACCTATGAACGATATTGCAAATATTACTTACTGGCTCTTTACCGGCGCTTCCGCACAGATAGCAAATAGCAGGTATGTGAAACAGCTCAGAACCGATAAGAGCAAAACCCTTTGCTCCGACCTCGGAAGGATCGTATTGCTCCCAGAAATCTATAGAAACTGTGTATACAGTCTCCATAGTTGCCTTAGAAACCTGCAATAAATATGTTAGTTACATCACTTTTCAATTCCATTCAGATTAAGTTTACAAGTTTTATATTTAATCAAATACATAAAAATATGTATAGATATAAACGAAGTAACACGAGCTCATTCAGTGCCACGAAAAGCAGAATAAATATTCGTGTAACACATATACTTGGGCCTGAAAAATATCTTACCACTGAAAAATGCGACGTCGATACACTCTGCTGTGGTTTTCCTCTTCTCGAGTGAGACTGTTGTGTCATATTAACGCCAAGACTTAAATTCTCTTCATTATGCTTCTGCACTTCCTTGTCTTTCGTAACGTCGTCCCTCTTCTCTGTCCTTTCGGTTTCCTTCTTTGGAATGTTTTTGCCGTGTTCGTTGTCTTCTTTCGCGTCTGCAGTGGGAAAAGTTGCGATGGGTTGCCCAAGCGCGACACTGGCGCTTCGGCAAACGTGCTTAACCCTCGGTCCTTTCAACTCGAGTCTCTGTCTAAGAGGTTGCGAATGTTGGCCACCGGTCGAAGAGGCAAGCGCTGGACTTTTAATTTTCTTTCTTACTTTAATCCTGTTATTTTTCCTCCGTTTTTTGTTAGGCGATATACTCATCGAGGAATCAACTGCAACAAAATGATGTCGTGAGTGCAAATAAAGTAATAAAGTTTGAAACGAGTACTTGTAAAATAAAATAAGTTGTTTTACATTTATCTAATTTTGTGTAGAAAAAGTGCGCTCCGGTGCCCTGATAACTCGTTTTCTGTCCCATTTCGAAATTTCGCCAACTCATGGCGGACTTGAATAAATTTCTTTCCAAGCTGTCTTCCGCGGGCCAACTGAGTTTAGACGGGCCCAAATTTTGCCCCTGACCATCCTCGTCTTGACTGAGCGGCAGAGAAATGCTCAAAGGATCTCTCATTAACGGTGGTAACAATGCGTTCAAGCCTGTCCTCAAGACAGGCGGAATGTCATAGCATTTCAAACACATTTTTAACCAGCACGCCGGGCATCTGGCTTTATACACGCATCTCATGAGATTCCATTGTTGACTCCTCACTACGGGCGGGACTAAACACAGGCCGTCGCCTTTATGACACTTGAGAATGGGAAGAACATTGCTCGAGGATTTAGCGCAGGCCTGATGTTTGATCATTTTGCTTATAAACTTTCGGCAAGATTCGCAACTGTGGATGCCAAACTTGCGCGCCTGTTTCACGAATCGATAAAACCGTACTGCGCCGCAAACACCGCATTTTATAGTTCCTGTTAATCCTGAAAGACAAAATAAATTACAATCATTAGATACGATTGGATTGTTGCTGGAGATAAAAATGTAACGATAAAACAGCTTTACAGCGGCTATAAGAAAGATACCTAAATTAGTGTTTCCTCCCATAGTGTTACTGGTGCTCGTCGTTGAAAATGGTCCTTCAGTTCCAGCTAAACACTTGTTATCCAACTTTAATCGTGCTTTTCTCAATATAACTTTGCCGCTATTGAGTTTCATTCTGCTCAATTCGGATTGCTCGCCTTCCGAGTGATTGCTGTGCTCGCTTTCGCTTTCAGATAAATTGTTCTCCGCCTCAAAACTGTTCAACGTACTAACCACAGTCTTGTTACCATTTTCAGGCTGATCCTTAGTTTCTGCACAGCCATCTTCCGTTAATCCCGCACCACTCTCAAGGTTCGCCTGATTACTTAAATCGCTCGCTATCTCATTTTGAGTTCCCGATCTCGTCTGAACTCTGGAAGACTCGAAGTGTGGAACATTGGAATCGGGAAGAACTTTTGTAGGAATAGAAATCTGCTTCTGATTTCTGGGAATTGTTGATTTCACAGTTTGTGCCGTCCTGCTCGAGTTCTGTGAGCATTCTTGATTATTATTAGAGCTGTCGGATGTGCCGTTTGATACTTTATTCTTACACGATATATTATGGGATTTCTTTACTTCTCTATGAGTGGATTTTGATATTTGTGCGTTTTGTACAGAATTCGCTGATCTCTCCGTATTCTTTATTGATTGAGTTATAATCTCGGCATTGGAGTTTACGCCTTGAATCACCCTTTTCGGCTTGCCCCTCGCGTCTTTGTCCTTAAATTTTGTACACAACTTGCTAACCGCGTCCCCTTTCAATTTTGATTCCAAGCTGCTGAGCTTATCCGAATTTAACTTAGTCTTTTTAACGTGCACGCCAATTTCATTCTCGCTGTGCTCCGTAACAGAGATTTCCTCCAATTCCTCGATGAACCTCTTGTTCGGCTTTATAACCCTCGACGAGTGCACGCTGCGAACTGGTAAAACGAATTTCCTCACTGAGCTAGGCTTCTCTCCAGATTGCACCACCAAACTACGCCCGTTACTCCCGCTGGATTTTGCCCTCTGAAGCAATCTTTTTGCAGTACTGTTACGCAACTGTCTGGTTCTCTGATGCTGGTCCAAGATGTTGTTCACTGATTTTAGCACCGGGTTCTTCAAGTAATTCGAAAACTTTATGTTCTTACAATTCTTGCGACTTTTAGCTCTGTGAATCTTTGGAGTGTGTTTAGCATCCGGGTTTGTAACTGGTTCTGTGATGTCACCGACTGGTTTTGGATTTGCGGCTTCGCTAAGCTTCTCTGCGCCGTTTCTGATGTCTGCAGGGGAATTTTTAACATCAGCAACGTCCTTCTTCGCGCTGGACTGTGGTGCAAGATTTTTGACTGTGACAGACGGCAACTTATCGCTGGTCTCCTCTGCATCGTGTTGCTGTGTTTTTATATAGGATGCAGAAAGATTAGCCTCTTTAGTGCTAAATCCGTGGAATGGTGGATGTTCCTGGGGAAAGATTGCCTGTATGAGTACTAGAAGTGACAAACCGTTCAACAGTTACAATCTACAAGCATGATCTTACGGCGTACGTCATTACCTACGTGTACGACAATCAAAGTAACAGTCAAGCCGTCAAAGTAAACAAACGAGTGACCAATACGCTAGGTTTACTTCTACATGACAACTCGGCTACCACAGGACTCTTTCCTACATTCTCTCTGGCCGCTGAGAAGTTACGGAGCGACAATCGCAAAAGGCACGTCTCACTGACGTACTCCGTACCAAGAGCGGCCAGGGCGAGAGCGTATACAGATCACTACCGCTCGACCGACATACGGAAGGGGAGGCGAACGCTAAAGCGAGAAACGAATCGTGCAACGGCAGGCAAGGGCCGCGAAGGCGTCGCGTCGCGTCGCGTCGCGTCGCGCACCTGCCGTTCCACGACCGCCGCCGATAGGTTAACCCGCGCGCTACGCCGCGCCAGCCAAGGCTCGTCGGCCCGCGTATCGCGAGTCCACCGCGTATCCCGCCGAGTCCCAGCGTGTTCTCGCGACACCAGCCGGGCAAAATACGCGCGAGCGGCGTCGCGCGACGCGACGCTCGTCGGTCTCGCGCGACCTCGGCAACCAACGGCGACGGCAACGGCGACGGCGACGGCGACGACGGCGGCGACGGTGGACGACCATGGACGGCGACGGCGATGGCGACGGCGACGGCGACGGCGACGGCGGACGCCTCGGCGCGACTTTTTTCCCCCTCACCTTCTCGTTGTCGCCGAATGTTTCGTTGAACAGGGAAAGTCCGTAGTAGATGTTCTCGGCGACAGTTACCGGATCGTTCTGCGCTGCCTCAGGCTGGCCCAGCACCTTGATCCGTTTCCTGGTGGCCGTCTTCGGCGGCTTCCCGGGAAACTTGGACCTTCCCATGTTCGCCTGTTTTCAACGACGTACCTCAACCTCGCAGCGAAATTCCGCTTCCATTTTACTCGCGATTTGTGCCCACGGCCGAGAGGCGCACCGACTCTCTCGCGTACACTATACACCGACGTACGTTCTCTGATATATACGCGCGCGCGCGCGAGCACACACACACACACGGACGCAGGGGCCGCCGTGTGGTCTCTCGGGCCGCTGCCTGTTCGGCCGACGTCGGCCGGCGTCGGCCAGGCTCGGCCGCGGGCCGCAAAATACGCGCGTACTTGTCAAACAGAGAGCCTGGGCTACTAAGGCGGGCTACGCCGTTAAAGCGCGCGCGGGCGAGCGCGCGCCGCCGTCACGGCCTTCGCCGATCTACTCGCCTTTGGACCCGTCGCGCTCTCGGCACGATCGCTGCGACACACGGATTCGCTCGTTCGAGATTCGCGGAGACTCGCAACTCGACGGGATCCGCCTCGAGAATCGACGTTCGACCGCCGCTAAAGTGACTCGTTCGCGGCCAATGGAAACGCGGCAATCGGGGCGTAGGGGAGAACGTCTCTCCCTCGCAACGCCGCGCCGAAACCTGGGAAAGTTCGCTTCGCTTTTCGGAGCAAAAATGACGCGGGATTTAAAAATTGATTCCCGCGCGGCCGCGATATCGAGAGAGCCTCGACGCGACCTCTCGGTGATATCGTTGCGCGTAGAATTTTTGAGATCGCCCGAACTTCAGCGCGTCTATTTTTAATCGCGCCTCGTCTTTGTTTGCGCCTGGCTCGATTATGCTCGATAAGGATCTCGCATGCGAATATATCGGGGCGGCCGGAAAAAAAGCAGCAAGGGCGATACGCAAGGAGCGACGCGGCTGCCTCGAACCGGGCTGGTCACGTGACCGTCGGGCATTGAGAGCCGCGACTGATTTGAACGCGGCGTAACGCGCGCCCGACGCTCGCATTTCGCGCTTTAACGTTTATTTCGCACGACGAATCTTATTATCCCGCGAGTTATTGCCCGCCAATAACTCGCGCGGTTGAATGTCGATTTTATAATATTCCCCCCGGGTTGAGTATCGAGGGCGCGCGATCGCGACGGGGAGAACGAAAAGTTCGAGCGATTATCGAGCGGAACAACTTGCTGCATCGAGCGCGCGGATCTGAAATTTTGTTTATTAAGACCACGGCTCGTATCGCGATTGTCGTAATAATACGTAAAAATATCCGCTTATTCTCACCTTTCGCATGTGCAATTACGAAAGTAACTTCTAACACGCGCAACCGTACTTCACGCAACGTTCGGTGCACCGGGGCCAATTACGTCGTGCTTCGTGCATAGTTCATTAAGTTACTTTCGTACGTGCTCTATTAAGAGGTTAACGTACGAAAAGTACTAAAACGATAATGGAAGAAGAAATAACACGTCGCGAGACAGCGAAGCTCGCATGTGTACGTACAGCGATGGACGGAATGGTGGCGACACTTTTTTCTTAATGAGTTTAGGAACTCGAGAAATAGATTGGAAACGCTGAAAATGGTTTCGGAATAGCCATTGAGTAAAATATTCCTCGGAGAAGATTTTAAAACGCAATCCTCAATCTAAATGCATGTTCGTAAACTGTTTAAAAAAAAGCGTCGCAACCGTTCTGTCCGCGAGGAATCACATGAACCTCCGCACATATCAACACATTTATGCATCTTGCGTATACATACATGGAAAACGTATATGCATTCTACATGTGCCTAAATTCATGTGAAAAGGCACCGGTGATTTCCAGTGTGCAGTGCTGGACTGAATGGTTGGGACACCCCAGTGAGAAATGATTCGTCGAAACGATGTCGATTCGACATCGTTCCGTCGTCAATCGACGAGTCATTTCCCACTGAACTTTTTTTTAAGTGAGTTTAGAAATGCGCATTTAGATTCAGGTTTACGTTCCATAAACATTTCCCCTGAGAAAAATTTTACTCGAGAAATAGATTGACAACGCTCAAAATGGTTTCGGAATGGCCATCGAGTTAAATATTCCTCGGAGAAGAGTTTGGAATGTAACCGAAAAAAAAACTGTCGCAATCATACCGTGAGTCTGTACCAGTGATGGACAGAATGGTTGCGATACTTTTTTTTATGAGTTTAGGAACATGCATCTATTGGGTTGAGTCTTAAGTCATTTCGGTTTTTTACTACGATATTCAAAGGCGATTTTTTTTTTATAGAAATGCATCTATTGATCATCAATAGATTGAGGGTTTCAAAATCTTCTTCGAGAAATATTTTACTCTATAGCCATTCCGCAATCATTTTGAGCTTCTCCGATCTATTTCTTGAGTTTCTAAACTCATTAAAAAAAGTGTCGCAACCATTCTGTCCACCACTGTACATGGCCAACGAGTAAAATATTCCTCGGAGAAGAGTTTGGAATGTAACCGAGAAAAAACTGTCGCAATCATACAGTGACGGTCAGAATGGCTGCGACACTTTTTTTATGAGTTTGGGAACATGCATCTAGATTTAGGGTTACGTTTCAAAATCTTCTCCGAGAAATATTTTACTCGAAAGCTATTCCGCAATTATTTTGAGCGTCTCCGATCTATTTCTTGAGTTTCTAAACTCATTTAAAAAAAAGTGTCGCAACCATTCTGTCCACCACTGTACATGGCCATCGAGTAAAATATTCCTCGGAGAAGACTTTCGGGACGTAACCCTGACTCTAAGTGCACGTACCTAAACTCATTTAGAAAACCGTGTCGCAACTACTCTGTCCATCACTGTACCGATATGTGGTACCGATCGCTCGCGGTGCAGCACGATAGCGCGCGCGCATCTATTTGCTCTTCTATATTTCATTGCGTCTTCCTGCATCTCTCCATTGGAATTAAGCCCAGTATCCTCTTACTCAGGCTCAGGCCGGCCTTTACGGAAGATTTACCGGTGATTCGTTTACGCCTTAGCGCATTCCCAGGTTGTCGGTGCATTATTTCCGCCGAAGCTATCGCACGGGAATGAAGATCGTCTTCAGCGGCGGTTCTAATTGCTTCCGGTATATTCTATCAAAACGTGTATACACACGCTCTTGCCGTGCGTTATTCAAACGGTAATTAAGATCGCCGTAACACGCCGTCGCTTTTGTCGACGCATCGCGGCCGGCTCGCCTCTTCGAAAGCGAGGCACTAAAACGGCCCGAAGAACCGCGGCTCGTCGATAGATCGATTTCTTCCACGTATGTATTTCCATATATATACGCATATAGGACTTGTTCAACTGAATGCGCCGAGCAGAACATCTGCGTCCATCTAGCGACATGTAATATTTAAAGCGGGGTTGATACGCTCTAACGCCGGGGGGGAACGAGATTAAAATTCGTGATTTAAATTATATATTTAAATAGTACATCCACGTCGGTTCTCGTCTAAAGACGAGAGCGGCGCCCGGGTGGAACGTACGGGAGAGATATTTCAGGATTGAGAGGATATTTATCGTGGGGAAACGTTAGGACATATCTCTCGCAGACGCCCGAGGAAAATTGTAGCAAGATAATCCTTTGTTTACGCGCCGCGTCGCGGTAAATAGAAGCGAGTAAATTACCCGTATTATCGCTAGAACCGAAAGTCGCTTCTATAATCTGCGGAGGGGTCAGCTTTGCGTTCGGGAAATTAGATATTTTTCGCTGGACTTAAAGGCCGAATCGGACTAGCAATTACCGGCTTGGATTGGACAGAGATTGGCGATTGTCCTCTAGCCAATGAGAGTCGATTAAATCGCTGGCTGCCTTGCTCTCATTGGCCGGAAGACAATCGCCGAGAATCGCCAATCCCAGGCCAATCCGCGCCGACAATCGCTGGTCTGATTCGGCCTTAACGCGAGGCTCTTATAATACGCGCATGTAATGCGCTCGTACTATCGCTGGAATCGAGAACCGTTTCCATCTGCGGAAACGTCAGTTCTGCGTTTGCACAATTAGGTATTTTTCGCGCAACTTAATACGTGGCCGTTTAATGCGTGTCCTTTTTCAACGCCGCACCTGCATAAAGTGCATTTCGTTTGAAATCAACGTTTGCATCTGTAATTTGCATTGTGATATAATGCATAATCATCGCGCGTGTCTCTCGAAATAACTGGCAGAAATGCCATACAATTCGTATCGCATGTTTTCCATCCGTTCGCGTTCCAGTTCGTCCTAACCGAAAATAAGTTTATTGGTTCGTCGATACTTCTGTGTTATATTCGAAAGAGCTCTAGCATTTTTTTTTAAATCACTGGAAATGTAGAACTAGGATTCTTGATAACTCCGATGCTTTCAGCGCTTTTATTGAATTTTGGTTTGTTTAAAGCGAAAATCAAACACGACGAAATATTATTAAATACTGTTATTTATGTTCCGTTACTTTTCACCGCAAACACTACGCGATGTGAATAAAACTTGGCTAAACGGATGTGATAATATATTGTCATTGTATAAGATTTGTTTTTACGTTTTCCTGGAGAATCGAGACTAAAATATCCGACATCTGCTTTTGAACGCTATCTTTCTTTTCTTCGATACATTCACATTTCTATAAATATGACTGGCCATGTCGTGTATGATCGATAATTTAGCAAATTTCTGATATTTCCGACGTATTAAGTAAAAATTCAGCGAGATTTGTTAGAAGGTTTGAAAGAATTATTTAGTCTCGACATCCTATTAAAATCCTCTTGTTTTCTTCTTTATTGACACTTGTACGTTCGTTAACTCGATCAAAGTCACATTTACAGCATCGATAATGTATCACAAACCGATGTGTCTATTGATTATCGCGAGAAGAACGAAAAACATCGCCTCCAAATAAAATGCTTCTCTTCTTTTCCAGAAATTTGGTCCATAGAGAGACAGTCTCCGTTTCTGCGTGTAAGAAACGGTCCCTATTTGTTTCCCCGATTCTCTCCGCGAAAATTCGACCGCAGAAAAGGAAGCCTTCCACGAGTGGAAAAAACCCGTCCCGTGTTTTTTTTAACCCCTCGCGTTCTTCGAAAACTCCGTTCCGTGTGTGAAATTGTGCGCTTTTAACTGCGAGCGATCCGTTTTATCGGGTCGCGCGCTGGCCGGCCGGCCAGAAAATCACCACCTGCCGCGGCTGGCGAGCTAAATGTCGGACCGGCGCGTGTCGTCGCGCCGAATCGCGGTGCGAGAACAGGCATCTGGCTCGAGGGCGCGTCGTCTACGAACGCGACTCCGAGGCTCGTTACCGGCGCGAACGTCTCACG